TTTAGGGTTTTTAGGGTTAGGGTTTAGGGTTTAGGATATAAGGCCCAGTAATTAATAGTATGCTTATTGAACAGTTGAATAGTATTCATAATACAGATAATTAAGGCCCTTAATAGTAACCTTGCTATAGACTGCTACTGTGCGGGGGGAGTACCCAACTTGCCCCACGGTCCTGAGCTCTCGCCGGGAGAGGTGATGCCACTCAGAAGGTCCCATGCCATCATCCAGTCCAGAGACAACATCCAGCGCCGGCACAATCGGATGTGTCTCCTCTCAGGACTAAATCCTCTACCCTGAACCCACTGTGCGCCAGAGACTTATGGTGTCACCAATTCCCCAGTGCGCATCTTGCAACATGCCAGGCTTCTAGAGACACACACACACACACTCTGCATTCGGCTGTACCTACGGTTTAGGGCTTAGGGCTTAGGAGAAGTAGGATCCTTGCTGTTTGAACCCCACAAATATAGCGCCTCCATGTAGAACCCTAACATAGAACCAGAACCCTAAGGAAGAGGATATCCTTATTGTGAGAACCCAAAGAGCGGATCCGAAGAGCCGGGCTCGTGAAAGTCAAAAGCAGCAAAGTCCCTAAACCCCTAAACCCCTGAACCAATAAAGTTAGGGTTTAGGGTTTAGGGTTTAGGGAACCCTAGACTAGACCCCTAAACCCTAAACCCAATGCCCATCAAATTCGCCTCGACCCGGCCCAAGCGATCAGAGTTTCCCACAAGGACGTGTCCCCTCCCTGACCTGTTGTTTGTGGGCAGTCTGAGCAAGACTTTCGCATGAGCTTCCCGCCCCTCTCTCATGTACCCTAAATACCAACTACTAAGGACAATCTATTCAAGGGTACCCTAAATACCAACTATTAAGGACAATCAGGGCTCTATTCAAGGGTACTTGGGGCATTCCCCCCCCTTGCAGGTCGGTTTAAGGCCTCTTCTCGGGCTGAAGAAACCCTAAACCCTAAACCCTAAACCCTAAAAGTCGACCAATTCGTCGACCCGCTGCACTTGCGCCCGGGCCGAGGTAGACGACGCGAAGCGTTAACGGAATAGACCAAGCCCTAAACCCCTGAAACCCGAACGCCCTAAAGCCCTAAAGCCCTAAAGCCCTAAGCCCTAAACCCTAAATGATAAGCCCTAAAGCCCTCAACCCAGTCAACCCTAAACCCTAGACCCCCTCTATACCCTCAAGCCCACACCTCAAGAAGACTGGACCCGCCCTAAAGCCTAAAGCCCTACAGAGGTTTTAGGGTTTAGGGCTTATAGCCCTACAGATTTTTAGAGCGCCAGGACCTCTACGGAGCGCTGAAAGCTTTGGCCGTGACCGATTGGATGTCGGAGAAGTCTGGAGACCTCTCTGCGCAACCTGGAGTTTTTGGGTTTTGGGCTTTGAGCTTTGGGATTTTGGGGTTTCGGGTTTAGGGTTCGCAACCTAGTTTACAGTAGGGTTGACAGCTTTCTGCACAAGTTATGGTAGGGTTGAATTATTTTGGATAACTCATAGTAGGGTTTAGGGTTTGGGGTTAAGGGTGTAGCGTTTAGGGGTTAGGGTTGAGGGCTACAGGTTACTATAACCAGGGCGGTTATAAGGGACGTTATCCGGCTATTCTAGGGCGTGTATAGTGGTGATGAGCATCCCGGACAATAGCCCACTAGAATGACCCATTGAAGAATTCTTATCCTAATGCTTACCATTGTAAGTCTTACTATAAACTTATGATGGTCCTCGCATGGCCCATATAGTGACCCCTATAAACATCCTTATTATGGTGAGCTTTAAGGCTCGCAACACCGCGTTTCAGCTGGGCTACAGCGGGGCCACGGACACCAGCGAGCGCATTGGTGACCCTGCCCTGCCAGGGTCGGACCGTTCGACAGCACAAGGTTTGGAGTTTAGCGCGTTGGTGAAGATTTCGTGTTAAGGGTTTTTTGGTTGAGACCTCTCTTCCATACCGCTTCAGGTCAGGAATACCATACTGGTTGAGGTAGGGGCAAGGAGTGATATGACGATTGAGAGGGGGACTCACCAAGGTTTTAGAGTTTAGGGTTTAGTGCTTTGGTGATCACATCCGGCAACACGACCGTCAACCATCGGGAGCCGGCAATGTTGTCCGGAGTTGAAACCCGATGGTAGTTCCTGGCAGCTGCTACGGCGTAGAATTCGCCTAGCTGCACCTAGCGACTGAATCGCGATACCCTAAACCCTAAACCCTAAACCCTAAACCCTAAACCCTAAACCCCAACCCGAAACCCTAAACCCTACAAGCCCTTAACCCTAAAAGTCGGCTTCCAGAGTAACCCGAGATCCAGCCTGTAGCAGGACTCCACTATCAGCCGCCTCAGCTCACAGAGCAGGAAAGCTTCAATGAGCTCGGCAGAAACACAGAAAATTCAGGGTTTCGGGTCTAAGGGTTCAGGCTTCCTAGACCCTAAACCCCTACACCCCTAAGCCCTAAACCCTAAACCCTAAACCCCTACACCCTAAACCCGAAACCCCCAAACCCCTAACCCTAAACCTCTAAACCCTAAACCCCCCAACCCCTAACCCTAAACCTCTAAACCCTAAACCCTAAACCCCCAAACCCCTAACCCTAAACCTCTAAACCCTAAACCCTAAACCAGGGCGCTTAGGGCACTTAGGGCTCCGGGACCCCCATCCCTGCTTGGAGGGTCGGGAGACTTAATAAGTAGGTAATAAGTAGACTTATCAGTACCCTAAACGGGACCCTAATTGGGGTTATAGT